TCGCGGAGCGAGCATCGGCGAGCATCGAGAGCATCCGGGAGCATCGAGAGCATCCGCGTGCATCCACAGCATCCGCGAGCATCGAGAGCATCGCAAAACGGCTGGGTTAGGGCTAGCGGCTAAGGTGCGGGAAGGCAACCCAATAAAAACACACCGGCACACTGGCTGTGCATAGCCTTCAGCGGGCCCGGGGAGTGCTATAGAAGACAGACGGTGTCCTCTTGAAGAGACTTGACGGCCTTGGCGTGGGGGAAATGGAGTCTTTCGGAAAACCGACATCCGGACTTCGGAAATTTTTCTGGCCAAACGCCGGAAACTGAGCATCAAGTTTGTCAAGTCGCTCAGGTTTCAAGGGAGAGACTCTGAGCGTCCACTTTAAGAACCTTCACAATCTTGACAAACTTGACGCTTGGAAAATGGGTGTCCGGTGAAAAAATCAAGCGAGAGACCCTGAGCGTCCACTTAAGAGACTTCACAAACTTGACGCTTGGAGATGAGGTTCCGGTGGAAAAAATGATATCCGGACTTTGGAAACTTTTCGGCTTGACGCTTGAAACCAGAGCATCAAGTTTGTCAAGTTCGTCAAGTCGCTCAAGTTTCAAGCTAGAGGCTCCCAGCGGCCACTTTAGCGAACTTGACAAGCTTGACGCTCTTGACGCCTTGCCCGAACAGGTTTAAACGCACGCCCCCACAGTCCATCTGGAGTACCTACCCGGACCGTCGGACACATCTAGCTGTCAAGTTCGCCAAGCCGCTTGGATTGCAGTCTCAGGGTCTGGTGCTCAAATCTAGACAAACTTGACGGGCAGCCAGCGCCTCTTCATCGGATGGACGAGAGCGGATGAGCACTTGGCGAGCGAGACGGCCACGGGCATCAGGCACGGGCATCGGCGCCCGGATGAGCATCAGCGGGTGCGTGGACGAGGGGCGCGGATGAGCATCAGCGGGCCGGATGAGCATCAGGAGCATCAGGAGGTGGGTCGGATGAGCATCAGCGGGCCGGATGAGCATCGCAGGAGGTCGGGCGGGCGGATGAGCATCAGCGGGCGGGCGGGCACATGAGCATCGGCGCCCTGCTTGGCAATTATGCGCAGGCGCTGGGCATCAGCGGAGCGAGAAATATGCTGCTAGTATCTGCGCAACAGCTCAACAAAACTTGTCAACCTTGTCACCGCCGCTGCGGCCCAGCCTTCAAAGAAAGCAAGGTCACAAAATGCAGGGTGACAACAGTGACAAAGATCTTACTCCTCCTCGTCGATTTTCTCACCTCCGTTTGTTGCCGCCTTGCTGTCTGCAGCTTGCCTCAGCTTTCTGAATTTGAACATCAACCAAGGGAAGAGCACGAGGCGAGCAACAAAAACCAGGAGCATGCACAGCCAAGAAGGGGTGCATCCCACTTTCTGCACTCCATGCTACTGCTTCGTATGGCTCTCCGTCGAGTTCAAGTGAAACATCATTTTCTGCAGTTGAGACTCCAGCGAGCTGATCTTGGACTCCAGCTCCGACCGCTGGGACTCCAGCTCCGACCGCTGCCAGCTGATTTCCATCAGCAGTGGCCCAGACAACCGAGAAACACGGGACAAAATCGGTGCCATGCTGGGCGAGTCTCGAAGTAAGCTTACCTGAAAATCGGTGGCAAGTGCTGCCAGCATGTGTGCATGGGACCCCTGGTATTCACCCTTCACGACATCAGGCAAGTTCTGCCACTCCGCAGGAAACAATTTCCCACACTGGGTGGCTGCGGCATGGACCCCAGACCGCAGCGTCTGAAAGATCTGATGCCGCCACCTTGGTGGAAGATCGCTGGTGCCGTTGCTGTAGCGCAACGAACTGGCTCCAAAGTCGCACCAGCTGAATCTGACATCACCGGTGGCTCTTTCCGTGCTGTAGAGCACATTGCCACTGTGAGCATCAGGGTGGATGAGCCCCATCGTGACTGCCATTGAAGCTATGTCGTGTATGTAGCCTAATACGAAAAACAGCCACCCTTCGCATGGCAGCAGGTCTGGCTTTGCCAAAAGGTTCGACACAACGCCATCAGCCCTGTCATCCAGTTGGATGTTCACTAGTGCCTCGTCAAGGCTCGCGACGGCTCCCTTTTCCGCATCAAAAAGCCAGACAGACTGCATCAAGACTATGCAAATTGTGCAGTCTACTCTGGGCATTTGGATTCCAAATGCCAGAGGTGCCTGGGCAGCCTTTGCAGCCAGCTTTCGCTCTACCCCTCTCGCGCCACTAGGCTGCACGGTCACTAGGTCGGGCGAGCTGACTTTGCTCAGCTGTCGCAATGCCCACAAAGACGGCTTGTCTGCCCCACGCAAGTTTATGGCTTGAATGAAGTCACTGAACCGGTACCGCACAGGTTCTGCGGGCAACGGTTGTAGGGTCATAACCAAAAACTTCATTGCAAAGCGCTGTGCGCAGGATCCAAGAAGCACGGTCTTCGCCACACCAGACGTCGCAACGTCGACAGAGCAGTTTCTAAACGGCTTAAGGTCGTAACACTGGCTGACCAAGCACCGAGTACCAGGCGCCGTCGGGAGGCATGCCGACGCTAGCAAAGTTGCGACCCAAATCGTAGCCATTGCGGGAGGGGCAACTCGGACCCTAGGTTGAAACCAATACTTTTGTAGGACAACACAGGCGTATGTCTACGTGCGCCTTGAGTTCAACCAGAGGCAACAGCATCTCACCCGCTAGCACGGTCACCACTGCAGCTGGCTAACATTCGCAAAGATCCGAGACCGCGGCCAAGCAGCGCGATCCGAGCCTGCCAATGCAACCCGTGCTGACGGCGTCCATCTATGCTCCAACTTCGACGAACAAGCAGTCTTGTTTCTCCGCTCACCGCTCACCCAGGCTCCCCAGCTCAGCCCAGCAG